ATTATTTCTTAATTTATGGTTCTCAGACCTAAAGTCTGAAACTAATTAAAGAAACAAAACACAATATTAACACAGCCTCTTTATCTTACATCTGTAACTGTGTGTTTTTCCCTAAATTTTCCTCTAAAAACCTTGCTTTTATTTTTTATGAAGTCCTACTGAGAAACTTTAAGAGCCACTGTCCCCCCCAAAACTGCTGAGTCACGGGGCATCTGTGAAAGTTTGCAGCTGCCTCAAGCTGCCTCTGTCTCCTAAGATAAGGAGGTGGTAGCTGGCGGGATTCTGAGCCTGAGAAAAAGGCTTTTTTTTTCTTTCTCTGACACATATGTAACGTTTCTCTAGTCACTATCTGAATTAGACTAGACAATTCCATGTGAATTGTCTGTCTTTCTCTCCCTCTTTGCCTCTCTCTTTTGGATACATTTTATCTTCCCAGTTTCCAGGCCTTTAGGAAAACTAGAACACCTTCCCGAGGAAACGGTGAGTAAAGAATTCTGTTCTTTTCTTTTAAAATATATTTTTATAGATTTCAGAGAGGAAGGGAGAGGGAGAGAAAGATTGAAACATCAATGAGGAGAGAGAATCATTGATCGGCCGCCTCCTGCACGCCCCACCCTGGGGATGAGCCCGCAACCCGGGCATGTGCCCTGACCGGGAATCGAACTGTGACCTCCTGGTTCATAGGTCAACGTGCAAGCACTGAGCCATGCTGACCGGGGCCAGAATTCTTCACAGTGCAGTTTGTCCCTAGTAGAATGAGAAAAGCTATCTCCTTTGAACTTTCTGCGCTGTCCTTGACAGGAGGTTTAAAAATTGTCTTTGTCTCTTAGGAAGTAGAAAAGTTAAATCTAATTCTCTTTTTTTGTGTGTGAATGTCTCAGTTTGAGCAGTTACCTTGAGCTTGTGGCTATACGGCACTAAAATCCAGCATGACCTGCTTCCATGGGCTCCCAGAGAGAACGACTAAGTAACTTGGGACAAAATAACACACAATACAGATTTAGGTTTCCATAGAATGATTTGATTCTCTAGCCAGACTAGTAAAGGACACCCACAGGGTAGTAATTATATTTAGAAAGAAAGAGACGGAAATTTGAACTTTAAATTGAATGTTCTGGCTGAGATAAAGTAGGGGAAACTGTACCTTTATTCAGATGAATGAAGATGGACTACATGGAAACTTGTAAGATAGCATCACAAATTAGTTAGCTCCCACTACAGAAAGGTAATATTTTATGTTGCGTGAGAGTACAATGTTTTATATTTCAAAAGCTAATTCCAAAGATACTAATAATTTGACATTTGTAAAAATTGGAGAGAAGAAGGGCTGAACTTTTAATTTGTAGTGCTTATGAATTAAGCAAATAAAAAGAGTAAAGGATCTATGAGCTACATTTTTAAGGAAGAAGAAGACATTTTAAAACTTTTGTATATATCATTAGTAAAGTTAATTGCAAGCCATTTTTCATCATTCATTACATTGAGTTCAGAATGATTAGGACTTGTCAACCTTATTAGCCTCTGAAAATAATAAAATTATATTTTTATCCATCTGAAACAGTGATTTTGCTAACTTAAACATAACATTTATTATTAGTCCAAATTAATTCTATTTATATAACTCAATAAATGGCACAGGTTTATGTGAAAAGTTGGCAAAGTGTTCTGGCTGATCAAGAGTTCTTAGCCTCATCTTAGCCGTATATGGTTAAAATTATATAAAAGTACTAACAACAGGCTTTTCACTAGTACAGGCTTAAAGATACATGAATGTAAGTAAATTTGAACATGAGCAAATGCCTTGGGACACATGAGTGACAGCATCCTAGGAACTTGAGAGCCAGCAACGGACAGCGCTTTCTCACTTGCAGGCTATGGAGAGCGGTGGGCCCAAGGTGCTGGAAACAGCCGAGGAGATCCAGGAGCGGCGCCAGGAGGTGTTGGCCCGGTACGCGAGGTTCAAGGACCTGGTTGCGGAGAGGGGCCAGAAGCTTGAAGAGTCCTACCACTACCAGGTTTTCAGACGGGATGCGGACGACCTGGAGAAGTGGATCTTGGAGAAACTCCAGATCGCAGGAGATAAGAGCTATGAAGACCCAACTAACATACAGGTCGCTCAGTCCCACGAACTTCCCCAGAACAGACCACAAGGTCTCTAGAAAAGGAAATATTCTTGTAATAAGTGTGTATTTGGCTAACTGCAGGACGAGGATGTAATAGAAAGATTAGACTATCTGTGAGGGGCAGTAATTTTGCCTGTAAGTAGCCCATGCCTTCGACTTTTTAAGCCTCAGTACCTTCTTTACAAAGGAGTCTCATTCTAGATAACATTCTACAAATATAAACTATGGGCAAAACCGTAGCTGAAAGTCTAAGCAATTTATTTGTGTGATTTTAATATTTTGTGTCGTTAAGGATGGAATTGAGTGAAGAGACGTCACTGCTTCTGAAACAACTGATTTCCACTCTCCTCAGGAAGAAGGAGTTAACCTGAGTTTTCCTGGTTTTTCTACAAAATACTAGTCATACCCCCTGTCAATTCCAAATGAGAGGTCCCGTTTCCTTTGCAGTGGTTCTCAACTTTCCTAATGCCACGACCCTTTAACACAGTTCCTCATGTTGTGGTGACCCCCAACCATAAAATTATTTTCGTTGCTACTTCAGAACTGTAATTTTCCTACTGTTATGAATCGGAATGTAAATAAATATCTTATATGCAGGATGTATTTTCATTGTTACAAATTGAACATAATTAAAGCAGTGATTAATCACACCAACAATATGTAGTAATATATGTGTTTTCTGATGGTCTTAGGCGACCCCTGTGAAAGGGTCCTTCGACCCTCAAAGGGGTCGTGACCCACAGGTTGAGAACCGCTGCTCTAGGGTGTGACTGCTCCAGCTATGGTCATAGGTTGTCACTTAATCTAGGTTGGGCAACAAGTAGTTCTGACTAAAAGTAAGAAGAGGAACAGAGGAACCTCTTTGTGGTCCGGGGAGACGGGGCTTCCTTAACTATAAGCTGTGATTTCTAAACTTCAGGGGAAGTATCAGAAGCATGAATCCTTTGAAGCAGAGGTACAAGCAAAATCGAGGGTCATTCCTGAGCTGGAGGAAATCAGGCAGGTCCGATTTGCTGAGGGCCATTTTGCCCACGAGGACACCAAGGTAAAGATGTGGGAGGGCTCTCAAAGATGAGCTTCTAATTGTTGGCTACTTTATCGGGGCTTTAATTGATTATGCCGAATACGAGCTTTCATGCAGCTGGCTTGGAATTAAGGGGTCTGTCTCTTATCTTCTACTGGGGTTGGTGTAAGAAAAGCGATGGGCTGTCCTTGTGTTCCTGGGGGTGGGGAGAAGAGCTATGATCCGAAAGCTGTCGTTGATGGCACCACATCCCTCCCTATGCCACTGCAGAATATATGGACTGAAGATCAAGCCCACTTCAATCTGGGTCTACATTTCCCAGATGAAATGGCTTTCGCAAATATCCCAATTATTTCTTCAGGTCTCAGAGTCCTTGTCCCTTAAACTTTTCGAACAGTGGATGCTCTCCCTTAGAATCTTCTCTGAAATCTTTATCCCTTTGTCCATAATAACTCATTCTCTTCACAGCTTACATGGTATGATCACTACTGTAGACCCCCAAACCCTCTTGATCACTTTGAAAAAAATCCTACAAACCCCTTTCTTCAGGAAATTCTTGCGCATTGAACACTGAAGATCACACCACTTTGGAACCCACTATTAATGTATCAGCTCTTTTCTAATTTAATCTATGTACTGTTCCAACATAGATTATATAGCCCATTCAGGATCTTTTTTCTGTAAGTGGAGTTTGTATTGTTTATGTCCTTTTAAAATTGTTAGTACATTTGTGTCACATATTTAAAAATTGGACTTGTCTTCCCATAGTTAGCAAATTCAACCCCATTTTACTGTCAACAAAATATAGTCAGGTGATACAGAATATAACTTTATTAGGAAAGAATCAGTAATAAGACAATTTCAAAAGGTATTTATTGATATAAAATAGAAATCATTTTTATTAATCACAGTTTTGCTGCCAAGTTCCTACATTAAATAAAAAGTTTGAGAAATGTTTAAAACATCTTCACTTCCATCAAAATCACTAGGTCTATGTCAGATTGTATTATGCTAGATTTAGAGAGAAATGTGATCTACTACTACCTAGAACAATGGAGTAACTGTAAGGCACAAGATTCTTTAAGACATGACAAAGATGATAACTTCAATGTCATAAGATATGTATTACATAATATCCAAGCTAACCTGCCATCAAAGCCCTCAACGATATGCTCTCAAAATTCTATTGCTTTGGTGCCATTCATTTTATATTTTGTAAGCTAGCAAAATTGTAGTTCTGATATTTTCTGGCAAACAGCTCATGCTCAGTTTCTTCTGTGACTTTGCCACTGCTTAGGACACCCTCTGTCTGTTATCTATCTGTCAAAGTTCTGTTTCTTAAAGCCCAGTTCTGATGAGCACTCTTCCATGAATCCTTGACTCTATCCATCTTAGTGTTTGTAATTATTTTATAGTCTAACTCCCCAAAGCATTTCTAAGAATTTTTGTTATGAAAGATAATATAGGGCTTAATTTAATAGCTGTTCCCACATATATCCTATCTTTCCTTTAAAATACTTGTGCAATTAATGCACAAGTGAATGGGAGGAGACATTTCTATCCAGGCCCCTCTCTGCACAAGTCTCTGAGTCTGCACCTGATCCGCAGCCTCTGTGCCTCAGTAGTTTTGTCTCTCTTCCCCAAAGGTCCATCTGGAGGAATTGCGCCGCCTGTGGGACCTGCTGATCGAGCTGACTCGGGAGAAGGGCGCCTTCCTTCTGCGGGCCCTGAAGCTCCAGCAGTACTTACAGGAGTGTGCCGACATCCTGGAGTGGATTGGAGACAAGGTATGAGGCTAAACAGTAGGCCTTTAGGACTCACCACGCTCTATCCCAAACACCCAAAGCAGTTTAATATGGGCTATTCATAGAAAAGACAGGGTGTCTGTTCCTGGACTTGTTCCTTGAAAGAATGGGGCCATTTGGGCCAAGATTTAGAGATATTCTGGAGATTGTTAACACGGTAAGGGAGAGGGTAAGTCTAAATTATGACTCTGACTATGAAGAAGACACGACCTACACAAAAAATGTGCACTGGAAGATCATCTAGGCTTGTCCCCTTCTACCTTCCATGATATTTCACTCCTTTTTCTAGAATTTCACTCTGACTCTTGTCCCTTGTCTCTCAGTGCCTATAATTATGAAGGTTTCTTTTTTTTAATACTTAAAGATTAATGACTTTGTAGATATTAAGTATGTTGAGCTGAATAGAACAAGGATGAATTTATTTTTATGTTCCAAATTTACATTTTATGATTCAAAACATAAAGGGTGCTTCCACAGACTCTGGCCAACAATACCCCTGATTGCTCTAAAGTATTAGCCCAAAGCCACCTTAGGAAATATGCTTCTGCTTCTGGCTCTTTCTAGAAGTGGTTCTCCCAGGCTCCACCTGTATCTCCTGAGTTATCCTAGGAAGAAGGCAGGGATTTGAGGCATTTTACCTAAAGGAATTCCTAAGGATTGCTGGTGATTCAATAGACTTTTCTGTGTCTACAGGAGGCCATAGTGACATCCGTAGAGCTGGGTGAAGACTGGGAACGCACAGAGGTTCTGCATAAGAAGTTTGAAGAGTTCCAAGTAGACCTGGCAGCTCGGAAGGGGAGAGTGGATGGAGTGAACGAATACGCTAATAAGTGTGCTAAGGTGAGGTGGAGAGCAAAAGGGTCAACCCAGAAATAGGGCCCTGATCTTCAAGAAGAACTTGTGGTCATTAGTAGGTGTGACATGGGGTACATAGGGCATTGTGGGAAAATAGAGATGCATGTCCCTGGAATGACATGCCCAAATCAGTTTCTTCTCCTCTCTGGATCCATCTCTTGCCAGTCCTTGGGAAAGGAGGTGTGAGTGAGTGAGTAAGTGCATATAGAGAAATGAAATATACAATGAGGTAGCTACTGCATTGTGCACTACACTAATTACTCATGTTTATGCAGCATTCTTTCCTCATAAAGAAGTATCAGAATAAAATAGCAAAAAATGTAAAATAATGGTGGGCTATTATAATATACTCAGGACCCGGTGCACAAAGATTCATGCACTGAGGGGGGGGGGAGGATAAGGGGTGGAGGGGGAGTTCCTCAGCCTGACCTGCACCCTCTCTAATCTGGGAGCCCTCAGGGGAGCCCTCTCCAATCTAGAAGCTTGCCCTAGTGTCTAGGAGATCCGTCTGCCACCAGAACTATGATTCCCAGCATTCCTGGTGCTCCCCGCACTCTGGACTTCCACTTCCGGTCCTGGGGCTGCCACCAAAACTACTATTCCCAGAATTCCTGATGCTCCCCATGCTCTGCGTTTTCCCTGACTGAGAGAGCCATGTCGACCCAAGGGAGCGACCAAGGGAGCAACTGAGGGAGCCACGTCCCCCCCAAGTTGCCAGCTCTACCACTCTTCTCTGTGTATGCAAATTACCCACAATCTTTGTTGGGTTAATTTGCATACCCATTCCTCATTGGCTTGTGGGTGTGGCTTGTGAGAGTAGTGGAGAGACATTAATTTGCATGTTTCTCTTTTATTATATAGGATACTAGAGGCTCAAAATTCATGCACTCAGGGGGTAGTGGGTCCCTCAGCCTGGCCTGTGCCCTCTCTCAGTCCAGGAGACTTGGGGGATGTTGGACTGACTGCTTAGGTCTGCTCCGCAAGGGTCTAAGCCAGCAGTTGGACACCCTTAGCACTGCTGCAGAGGTGGGAGAGGCTCCTGCCACCACTGTTGCACTTGCCAGCCATGAACCCAGTTTCTAGCTGAGCAGCACTCCCCCTATGGGAGCACACTGACCACCAGGGGGTACCTCCTGCATTGAGCGTCTGCCTCTGGTGGTGAGTGCGTGTCATAGCAAGCGGTAGTCCTGCCGTTTGGTTGATTTGCATATTAGCCTTTAATTATATAGGATGATATCATTATAGATCACTTCTATGCAGGGGCAGAGGGAAAGGAGGCAGATTTAACTGTAGTTAAGAAAATGCTTAAGTACGTTTTCAATGTCTGAGCAAATAAATAGAATAATATGCAAGGAAATTGGGAAGCCGGTATGATTTTATATGTATATAAAAAAGTAGAGACTCTAACAGTTGGCTCTTATGCTTTTCCATTTATGGTTTTATTATCACTACAGTTTTATAATGGCAATTATTTTTTCTGAGTTAATAGAACCAAGATTTCAGGATGAATAAATAATGGAGTATGAAAAATGACCCATTTCTCAAATTTTTTCAAGGCTACCTTTCCAACAGTCCCTAAATTTACCATATCTTTCTTGTTTTGGAAAATTTTATCTGTTGCTATCACCAACTGCCACAAAATTTAAAACAGCAAACATGATTTTGCTGAAAATTAAAATTACTTTTTCATGATTTAATAAGTCAGATTCACTGATTCACAATTCAGTGATTCAGTTGTTTAACTGGGCAGTTCTGCACATCCCACCTGGCATTTTTAAGTTGCTGTAGTTATTTGGTGGTTCAGTTAAAGTGGAAGATCTAAGATGGCTTTGGCCCAGTGTCTGGGGTCTTGGAAGGATAATGAAAGCTTTCTCTATATGGACTCATATTTCAGTAGCCCTGTGTTTTTGTGTCAGTGTTTCAACAGGTGAGAACAGACGCTGAAATGCCTCTTTGGGCCTAAGTGCTGGAGCTAATAGAGTATCATTTCTGCCACATACTGTTAGTAAGCAACTCACAGGCCAATCCATAGCCAATGCGTGAGGAAATAGAGTCTGTCTCTTGAAAGGAGGATCTCATGGCAAAATATCATGGCTACTTTTTCCAATCTACCGCAATAAGGACTAATCCAATTCAGAGTTTATCCCCTGCTCTTCGGAAGTGGGGCTCACACAGCTGCAATAAAGAGGGCCATACACTCAGAAAGAAGAATGTGAAAAAATCTGTCTGGAGAGTCTTTGGAATGGAAATGGATATGGGAAGAGATAGGGACAAAAGGACTAGGGAAATGGCCATAGAGGAGCTACTCAAAATTTCCAAGTGTCCAAACAGGCTGCTGTGGTAATTATAAATCTCATCACTTCAGATGATTTGTAAAAATGTATGTAAATAAATATAATAATATACAAGAAAACTGGGAAGCCAGTTTTAATTTTCAGCAAAATTAAATGTGTGTGAATTTGTATATAATTCTGGAGAGAGAAAGATTGTTCTCATTTGATTTTTGAAGGTGTTAGGACCCCAAAAGTTTTAAGAACTACAGTGTTAAGTTTGGAAAGTTAAGTCATGCTTCACAAAGGGAATTTTTTCTCCTTTTTCTTTGTATCAATGATGTTCAGGGGGGTGTAGCTGGCATCAACAAGGTGGAGCTCTGAAAATAACATGATTGGGCAACTGTGTTAGTAGGCTAGACCAGTGCTGTGAGAAAGATGCAACATCTGGCAGATTAGTTTTCCAGATTTTGTAATGTAGTTCAGATTAGAGATAGGGAGCCTGGCTATTGTGAATTTCAGTATCTGGCTCTATTGTCGTTCTTCATTTCTGACAAAGTATGAGCCAGTGTGAAATGGAAAGTGTTTAAGTGATGGAATAATTTCCCCTTTGCATAACTCCAGCATTTGTTTCCTCTCAAAGGAGAACCACCCAGAACTGCCTTTGATTAAGTCAAAGCAGGACGAGGTGAATGCCGCCTGGGAGCGTCTCCATGGTCTTGCTCTCCAGCGACGGAAAACACTGTCCAACGCTGCAGACCTCCAGCGATTCAAAAGGTATGAGTCCAGGCACTGCATTAGCACCATGCCCCACTGTTAGCAATTAGTGGCCAATACCGCAAAGAAAGCCATGGATTGCCTTTAAGACAATGTGGGAGAAAGTAGTTTTAAGAAAACTGTAACCCACTCTATAGCCAAATTTATGGTGGCTGGAGCCCAAAACAATGAAAATAGCACCAGGAATTAGTGATTAAAGCTGTGGAAAGCAAGGAAAGCAGATTGAGAATTGGATGGGGGAGGAAGATGGAGCTTAGAAGAAGAAAGACATTCATGAAGTGATGACCATGACATGAGAATTTTCTGGAGGCTCAGTGGTCAGGTTGAGCAGGTCTCTACATCTCAAAGGAAACCATTAAAAGCAAGAACTCTTTTTTAAAAAATATATTTTATTGATTTTCCACAGAGAGGAAGGGAGAGAGAGAGTCAGAAACATCGATGAGAGAGAAACATCGATCAGCCGCCTCCTGCACATCCCCCACCAGGGATATACCTGCAACTCAGGTACATGCCCTTGACCGGAATCGAACCTGGGACCTCTCAGTCCGCAGGCCGACGCTCTATCCACTGAGCCAAACCGGTTTTGGCTAAAAGCAAGAACTCTTTACATTACTTTTTGCTGGAGCGTAGGAGGATAGAGTAATTTATCTAGCCGGGTAAATTAGGTTGGACCTTGCTGTGGGCTCTGTTTGCTCTGGGAGGCCTGCTATCTTCTTCTGTTGGAGCTCATATGGATGTCTGACAGGGATGTGACTGAAGCCATCCAGTGGATCAAGGAGAAGGAGCCCCAACTCACCTCTGAGGACTATGGCAAAGACCTCGTTAGCTCCGAGGCACTGTTTCACAGTCACAAGGGACTTGAGCGGAACCTTGCAGTCATGGATGACAAGGTAAGCCATTATTGGAGGAGTGTGGCTGCCCCCTTGAGCTAGAAGAGGTATTTATTGACCATCTTGCCTCCAGAGAACACAGGAAGTGTACTATTTCAATAAAGTCGAAATTCTGTGCTTCCACATTTGAGTTCACAACTTGTATTTGAATATTGGATATCCTTCATTTGCTATATTTTGCTCCAAGTAACTTTTTAAAAAAGTTAGGTGCCTATATTTGTACATAAGGTTTTCTGGTACCAAGAATTAGCCAATGAGACACAACCTTTTTATGTGACATGACCAATAAGATGCAGCTCTGTTATATGACCTATATATTTATGGCCCAAGACAGGGCAGTCACACCAGGTGGCTGCTGTTGTGTTGGCTATCGTCATTTTTCTATTTGACAATCTAAAGGAAAGGAGGTCAGTACCCCTAACTAAATAGTCAGGTATTGCATGTTTTAAAAATCCCTGCGATACATGATTGAAGATCACTGCCGTAGACAACACCTGATTTTAGTTAGTTTTAATAAAGGACGAATGGCAACACGTGGAAAGTCACCCATATCCATAGTTTTGCCTGCTAACCCTGCTCCTCAGGAATTGTGCTCAAAATGAGCTGGCATTACTGGAATTTCTTGTCCTCTTAAGCAGAAATGCCTTTCCAATTCCCACACTCATATTTATGGAAACAGTATACAGGCTGGTGAAGAACAGAGTTAAGTCTAAACCTTGCTTCTGTCAGTTACCAGCTGAGTGATCTTTAGCAAATAAAATACAGTATTTACATCTCAGTTATCACATAAAGGGACTAGGAATAGTTTGTACTTTATAGTTTTATTAAATAAAGACTATAAATCAAGAAAGCACATGTGAAGTGCTTAGCACGAGAGACAAAAAGTGCTTATAAATTATTATTAATATAGTTCATTAGCATATAAATATGACAATACATATGTATTAATAAACTATTATTATTTATATGATTGTTTAGTTGCATCACTCCAATATAAGTCTTCCAGGAGAACCCAGAGCGCTTGGGTTTCCCACTAGGTGTCTTTTTCATCCTAAAGGTGAAGGAGCTATGTGCCAAAGCGGACAAGCTGAAGCTTTCCCATCCGGCAGATGCACCTCAGATCCAGCAGATGAAAGAGGACTTGGTCTCCAACTGGGAGCACATCCGTGCCTTGGCTACCAGCAGATATGCAAAGCTGCAGGCTTCTTTTTGGTGCAGAATTCTTCCTTTCTATTATTCTACTTGCCTCTACAGAATTCAGGCATATTACTCAAAACAGAAATAAAAGAGCGAAAGCAGCAAAACAACGAGACACTCAAACTCCCTGCCCACTCAGTAGAGGCAGAAGTGTTCAGTTGCCAAGAGAAGTCTTTTGCAGGCCTATCGAATACTTAGCATGACACCTCTGCTCACCTGCACACCTTTCCTCTTCCTCTGTTTGTTTAGTTGTAAGATGCTATGAAGTGGCCCATGAAACTGGGAAAGCAGCTCAAGAAATGTCAAAATCCTGGTTCTAACTAAGGAACTGAAAGAAATTTCCAATCTGATGAGAGTATTAATAATAAATCCAAAATTATTTCCTGAATGTGGGTTGGTTTGTCAAAAACATGGGTATCAGTTCAGTAGTTAATTTTATGATGAGTCATTAAATCACCAGAAAAGACTGCTTATCTTAACGTTATGATTTAAAATTAAATGGTGAGCATTTAATTTTTTTTAAACTGTTTTAGTGAATGTTGTTTTTATTAATAGGGTTAAGGGTGAACTCAGATACATGAGGCCTCCTCACCCTAACTCTAGTCCCCCCTTCTCACAAGGTGCTTATTTTTATTTCTATATTGTTTGCTTATTTATCGGCCTCATTGGGGGTACTTTACTTCAAGTGCCTCTGGGGTAGGTGTGACCTTGTGATGTTCGAGATGTCATGCCTACGTGCCTCATCACATAATGACATGTCTACCCAAGAAATACACGACCTGGAGTCAAGGACTTACAACTTGAACCATTAAAGGAACAGAAAGTCCATCAGGGGAAGGGAAGGAGTAGAATTAGGGCAAGGAGCATATTGCACCTTTAGCTCACCTCAACCCGAACCCCTCAACAAAGTCCATTTACATCTGGTTTCTCCTTCTTGGCCTTGACCTTACCTCTCCCACAGGTACCAGCGTTTCTTATCTGACTATGATGAACTCTCAGGCTGGATGACAGAGAAGACCGCACTAATCAACGCTGACGAGCTGCCCACAGATGTGGCTGGTGGGGAAGCCCTGCTGGACAGGCATCAGCAGCATAAGGTAAAGAGAAAGATCCTCCTCACGAGGAGGAAAGGAGAGGCAACTAAGACTGGCATAAAGTTCCTTGCTGCATTTTAAGACATTGTGTCTTGTGGCCACAGCATGAGATTGACTCTTATGATGACCGATTCCAATCTGCTGATGAGACTGGTCAAGCCCTGCTGGATGTCAACCATGAAGCCTCCAGTGAAATTTTGGAAAAGGTAATTTGTTTACTAGAATTTGTGAAATTTTGATGCATCTTTAGCTCTCACTTAATCTCATAATAAAATAATAATCTCTGAATGGGAAGAGGGTAGACATCATATAAAGATATTAGTAATATGATGCCAACTTTCACTTTGCTTCCTTCATATACTGCTTTAGCTAAATTGAGCAATTTGAAATTCCCAGGACAAGATGTGTGCTTACCACTGAATCCTTGTGTCATAGACCTATTTAATTTCACCAACGTACATACAGCCTAATTTGAAGCCTTCATATCATTTTTCCTTGTCACATATAATCTGTTTTGTTACTTCCCCATGATCATCTCTAGATTATGAATTCTGTGCGGACTGCCCCTCATTGATCTTTGGGTTCCCCAAGGTGCCTGGCACGTGTACTTTCTCTTTTCTCCGCAATACAATTTCAAATCAAAAAGATTCTCCTTTTTCTGTGTTTTTCAAATTCGCATTAACCAAAAAGCTTTGAACATTCAGAATCTCACTAAATAAAGAACTAGGCTTGCCATCATCCTAACTTCCTGGATCGCAGGGGCTCATCTCAACTACCTGACCCCTCAGAGAGATTTTGTTCCAGTCACCAAGTCCCAGGAACTCTTTGGGATGGTACTTAAAGTAATATCCGTAGACTTCTTTGCATGTCATTACATTCTAAGCACAGCATTCAGTGCTGTGTGATGGATGACGTTGAGATAACCATAACTTGAATTTCCCCAGTAATCTATGGAAACATTATAATATGGCATTTATTATTCACAATTTTCTACCAAAGGGATGATAGAACCCTAGATTTTTAAAAACTTACCTATTATCCTTAGATTTTGAGAATTTGTACTGCCCTTTTGGTGGAGTTCACAGCAGCTGTGGTTATAAACTGGAGTTTCCTTGGGTAGATCTTGGGCAAACACGGGCTTTTTTATGGGTTTGATAATGTCACTTTTCTCTTTCCTTGATGGTTTTTTTTAAAAAATATATTTTATTGATTTTTTACAGAGAGGAAGGGAGAGAGAGAGCCAGAAACATCGATGAGAGAGAAACATCGATCAGCCGCCTCCTGCACATCTCCCATTGGGGATGTGCCCGCAACCCAGGCACATGCCCCCGACCGGAATCGAACCTGGGACCCCTCAGTCCGCAGGCCGACGCTCCATCCACTGAGCCAAACCAGTTTTGGCTTCCTTGATGGTTCTTATTTGCTTTTTGATAATGTCACTTTTCTCTTTCCTTGATGGTTCTTATTTGCTTGCAGAATAGGATGCAAACTTCTCAGTCTGATAACTTAAGTGCTCTATAAACTTGAAATTCATCAAATGTCCACCTTTTTAAAGGCACATTATTTTCTCTGGAGCACTTTGTATAACCTAACAATTACTTGGAATAATTACTTATTTGTGGCATTATGTCCTCCTACAATCCTGATTCTCCTCCCCACCCTTTAAATATTCATTTAGTAATATACTTCCCATATTTCTACTCCTTGGGTCTTCCAATCAGAATTAATCTTTTCTTGTTTATTTATGCATATTAAATGTGCTATTCCTCTTTTATGGTATTTATCCCATTTTTTTCTATGCTACATTTATTCACTTAGCTGTTGGAGCCTATAAGAAAAGTTCATTTACTGTTCATTTTTGTATCCTTCAAAATATCTTGCATTTATTAGATGCTCAGTAAAGTAGACTTCCTGTTTAGTAGACTGAGATAAATTAATTAAAGACCTTCTTGATACATTGTCTTTTCCTTTCCAAAGATGACAAAACTTGCCAACAACTGGGCTGCCCTGCTGGACCTATGGGACAAGCGTCAGCATCAGTATGAGCAGTGCTTGGACTTGCACCTATTCTACCGGGACAGTGAGCAAGTGGACAGCTGGATGAGTAGACAAGAGGTAACAGGAAGGATTCAGCAAGTGTCCAGAACCAATTTTTCACCCCTTGTTTACCATGACGAGTATCTACAGTCTCACAACTATTTCCTTGGTCCTAAGCTTGTCCTAGGAACTGAAGGGTGAACCACAAAGAAAAGATTGACCCCTCTCTATACAAGGCTTTTACTAGTCCCTCATGAACAAATGTATGGAAATAAATACCTAAATACATAGCAGAGAGTTTGGTCTCAAATGAACATAAGGAAAAAATAATATCAAATTGTAAAGGGGTTATGAAAATTGTGATGAGTCGGGCAGGATTAACCAGAGATTTACTGGGGGATGTGGGCGGTCCTCATGAGGCAGCTTTGAGAGCTCAGAACAGTGCCTACATTGGTTGGGACAATTCTATGTCAACAGACCTAGAGACAAAGGTGATGAGTTCTATGAGAGGACTGGGGAGAAGGCCTGAAGCTCCTGCTGTTTGAGGTTCATCTCTAACTACTAAACTTTTCATGTTAATTCCCACCTTGCTCTCCAACTCCCTCACCTCTTTCCTTGGTCCTTGTCTCAGAGATATTCCAAAGGCATGCTTTTCACCAATCAGGTACAGTGCAGTGTGTTTTTCTGTCTCCTACAGGCTTTCCTGGAGAATGAGGACCTGGGAAACTCTCTGGGTGCTGTAGAGACCCTTCTTCAGAAGCACGATGACTTTGAAGAAGCCTTCACTGCCCAGGAAGAAAAGATCACGGTAAGAAATGGGCCCTGGTTTGGGTATTGGCTTCATGTTTATATATATCATAACCTCCAACACTTATCCTTAGGGAGAATCACTCTCGTAACTATTAGATATAACATGAGAATCATTCCTAAGAGAAAACATCCAGAAAAATAATTATACCAATTTCTACCAATACAGTATTTGTTCCACAAAAAATAATTAGAATTTTTTAAGTATTTATGTCATTTTTTTAATCAAGTAAATGATTGCCTTTTTTTCTTCAGTATAAATAGAAACTATTATATCCGTAGTTTGAAATGCATTATTTTAATTTTTTTCCTTTCTAGTAATAGAGCGGGGAAAAAAACCAATAAGTAAATAATGTTTTATTTTTCTTTATAAGCATATCTTCACCTTTGTATTTCTCACCTAATGTTACTACAATTTTCCTGTGAACTGTAAGTTACAATGTCTAGGAAAACTGGTCAATATATAAGCAGAGCCCAGAGAAATGTAAGAAAAGTTTTGTGGGTCCATTATATTGTATCTTTGGCTGTCTTCTAGGATGGTACTGGTTGAAAGTCACACATAGGCACACATGCCACCATCATTGCAATAACTGAAATAACAATAAAATTCTAAGTCTTTCCTGTTAATCATCAGACATATAAATCTTTTGTTAATAATCAGACATATAATTCTTTGGTTTATTCTCATTGGTAAAAGCAAATGGTATAAAATAATTTTATTAGTTATAAAATGTTTTAGATTATTTATTTTAGATTATTTTCCTATTATGATTTATTAATCCATCTTTCACTCTAGCAGGGTTTTTTTTTTGGGGGGGGTGGTGTTCATGAATAAATATAAGTAAAAATTTACCTCTACAGACATATGGGCAACTGGCTGGTGGCAGCAGGCTTTGGTGCCATAGACCTTTGGCTGACCTGCCTCAGGCTTGATGCTGGTGGAAGCTGTCCTCACTTGGCATTGTGCCCCCTCCCATATGCATCCAGGCCAAGGACAGGCAGCCTTCAACTGCAGATACTTTGTTCTTCCTAACAGGTAGCCCTGGGACAGTTCCCGGCAGCAACTAACACTGATCTGCACTGCAGTTCCTTCAAAGAAATCTCAGAAACAACACATTTGTGACCAGTTTAAAACCACCAATTAGCTCTACAAGTGGTACACTGAAAGGAGGTCTTTATAGGCACCAAATTCCACAGGGACAAATCCCGCTCCATGGGGTCAGCCCCTGCACAGGAGCCATTCCTAATAGCTATCCAGTCTAAGGGTCATTCTGAATCACTGATGTACCAATAGCAATTAAGGCTCATCTACAAACAAAGGGCACACACAACCCACACAAGGGACAACCTGGAGTACCTGGCTCAGGTGATTGAGGAGGATGTATCACTAGGCCCCAAAGAACATCAAATACACAGGCCAGCAAGACTGAGAGACATAGCAGAGCTACTTAATACATAGAAACAAACACACAGAGACAGATAAAATGGGGAGATAAAGAGACATATCCCAAATGAAAGAACAGAAAAAAAATCTCAAGGAAAGGAACCAAATGAAATGGATGCAAGCACTCTATCAGATATAGAATTCAAAATGCTGATTTTAAGGATGGTTAAAGAACTTAGAGGAAAAATAGGTCAATTCAGTGAGAACTTCAACAAAGAGATAGTTAGCATAAAAAAGGACATAGAAACCATAAAAAAGAACTAGTCAGATACAAAGAATACAATAATTGAAATGGAGAACACACTAGAAGAAATCAACAGAAAATTAGGTGAAGCAGAGCATCAAATCAATGATTTGGAAGACAAGGTAACACAAAATACCCAATCAGAAGAACAAACAAAACAAAAAAAATGAGGATTATTTAAGAGACCTAAAAAAAAACACATCAAGTACAACAGCATCCATATCACAGAGGCATTGTGAGAAAAGAAGAATGAGCAAGAGCTTAGAATCTGCTTGAAAAAATAATGACTGAAAACTTTTCTAACTTGGTGAAGGAAAATATATTCATTTCCAGGAAGCATAGCCTGTTTCAAACAAGATAAACCTAAAGTGGCTCACACCAAAACACACCATAATTAAAATGGCAAAAGTTAAAAACAAAGAGACAATCTTAAAAGAAGCAAGAAAAAAAGCATTTAGTTACCTCCAAGGAAGCTCCCATAAAACTTTCCGCTGATTTCTCAACGGAAACTTTTCAGGCCAGGAGTGATTATCATGAAATATATAAAATGATGGAAACCAAGAACCTACAACCAAGACCAGTCTATCCAGCAAGACTATTATTTAAAATTAAAGAAGAAATAAAGAGTTTGCCAGGCAAGAAAAGCTAAATGAGTTTATCACCACCAAACTAGTATTACAGGGAATGTTAAGGGACATCTAGAAGAGAAAAGAAGGAGAAGGAGAAGAAGGAAGAGAAAAGGAAGATAAATATGAATAATAAAATCACAATAACTACATCTCTAGCAATATTCACTCCAAATGTAAATGAATTAAATGCTTGGATCAAGAAAAAATATCCATTCTCACCACTCTTAATTCAAAATAATACTGAAAGTCCCAGTCAGAGTAATCAGGCAAGATAAAAAAATAAAAGGCAACCAAATTGGGAATGAAGAAGTAAAATTGTCACTTTTACAGATGGCATGATTTTTTAATATAAAAATTCCACCAAAAATGTAGTAGAAACAATAAACAAATGCAGTAAAGTTGCAGGATACATAATCAATATACGAAATGCTATTGCACTCTTATACACTAAAAATGAAATTTCAGAAAAAGAAATTGGGAAAGCAATCTCTCAATTGCAATGAAAAAAAAAAAGAAAGAAATACTAAGAATGAACTTAACAAAGGAGATGTAGGATCTAAACACTGAAAACTACAAAGTGTTGTTAAAAGAAATTGAAAAAGACTCAAAGAAATGGAAAGATATTCCATGTTCATGGATTGGAAAAATCAACATAGATAAAATGGCCCAATATTTCCCAAAGCCATATACATAGCTAATGCCATCCTCATCAAATCCCAATAGCATTTTTAAAAGAAATAGAGCAACAGATCAGATTTGTATGGAATCACAAAAAAACACACAAAACAAAACAAAAACACCAGACACACACACACAATCCAATTAAAAAGAGGACCTGAATAGACACTTCTCCAAGGACAATATAGAGATGACCAACACACATATAAAAAGATGTTCACCCTCACTAATCACCAGAGATATGCAAATTAAAACCACATTGCGATATCACTTCATACCTATCAGATGGTTATCATCAATAAATCAACAAACAAGGGTTGGAGAGAATGCGGAGAAAAGGGAACTCTCTTGTACTGTTAGTGGGAGTGCAGATTGTGTAGCCACTATGGAAAACAGCATAGAGGTTCTCAAAAAATTTTATAATAGAACTAAGGTCTACATTTTAAAATTTAATTTATAACAGAAATTAGAGTTAGGACCTCTTTCCATGTTACCATGATCCCTTCTTTAAATAGCTACCCAAACTCTGGCCACACACTCATGGATGGTCACTGAGTTAAAACAATCCTGTGTTCTTTTGTTTTGTTTTTCAGACATTAGACAAGACTGCAACCAAACTGATTGACAATGATCATTATGATTCAGAGAACATCGCTTCTATCCGGGATGGGGTATGTTCAAGAGCTCATATGTGCTTGTCTAAGCACCCAGTCAGGGAAAGTGTTGGGGGCATGGTGACCCATGTGAACGCTGAGTCTCCTGTGTCCACATTTGGTTGAGCTGACAGTGAGTTTGCTCCTGGTTTGGCAGCTGCTGGCTCGCCGGGATGCCCTACGTGAAAGGGCTGCCACTCGACGCAGATTGCTGGAGGACTCCCTGCTTCTGCAGCAACTGTATCAGGACTCAGATGACCTGAAGAACTGGATCAACAAGAAGAAAAAGCTGGCAGATGATGAAGATTATAAGGTAGGCAGGGTTTCCCAGCCCTGGACATATTCATTGGGATTTGTTAGTTTTGTGGAATTAGAGTCTTAAAGCTGAAAGGACTACAGGGTTCAGTTAGTAAGCCTCACTTTACAGATGAGGAGACAGAGTCTCAGAGAAGGGCAATGGTTCCCCTGAGGCTATACATATAGAGAAGAGCCAAGAATCTAGTTTCTGGTTTTCGTATACCCTGCTGCCCATCACCTTTTTTTTTTTTTCTGGCACAGAATTTCCAATTGGCCTTGATAGAATGGTGTAAAGGAGGGACTGCTCCTTGCTGAGCTCTTTGTTGTCCCTTTATCACCTCTACTGCTCCCCTCTGCTCCCTTAATGGAGAAAAACATTGTGTTTAATCCTAACGTACACTCACATTTCCTGGAAGCTATTTGGAGCTCAAAAGTAACCTAAGGGTTTGGTATAATATAGACATAGAGTTTTATAACTTGAAGGGAACAACCTCTATTTTTATAGATGAGAAAGCCAGTTGTGAAGTCAGTTGACCAGTTATCCAATTATTTAGAAGGCAATTTAAAATAAGGGGGTTAGAGGCATGAATTTTGGAGATGAACTTGGGCTTCTTTGGGAAATTCTTATATTATCATTTAGTCTTAAATGTATACCTCAGATCCTTTTGTTCATATATCTTTATAGAACTACTAGAGGCCCGGTGCATGAAATTTGTGCACTGGTGGGGGGTGTAGCCTGTGGGGATCAGCCCGCTGTGGGAGCACTGCTTATCCTGGTCAGCCGAGCAGCATTCCCACTGTGGGAGCGCACTGACCTCCATAGTGACTGGTTGTTCTGTCATTCCGCCATTCAGTCACTGGGCTTTTATTAAATAGGATTAGAATTACTACCTTATCTGAACCTTTTATTCTTTCTGTGAAATTCAGCACCATGTGTTTGTGTTCTCTAGAGGAGTTGTGGTCCCGGTGCATTTAGGGTAAACATCCCTTCTATATGGGGCAAAAGCATGGTTGGTAGGTATACTAGGACAGAAATGAACCATAATTTTCATCCTTCGTGACAGCTCTGATTGATTGTTATTTCTTGAGGTGTCGTGTTCATAACAATTCCAGGCTCAGTAGAAATAATTTTAGGGATTGATTAGCTATGTCTGCCGCATGTATAGAAGGGAAAATTAGTTACATGAGTTTTCTTAGCATTCTCTGAGTCTGTAACAGGACAAGGACAGTTCTGTCTTCTCTCTTCTCCCTAGGACATAGTGAGAAGTAACCCCTGTACTCAAAATGTTTCCCCCTCATTTTTTAAGTAATGATTTTATTTTATTTATTTTATTATTTTATCTTATCTTATTTTATATTTTTTGCCTTGTCTCAGGATACACAGAACTTGAAGAGCCAGGTTCAAAAGCAGCAAGTCTTTGAAGAAGAATTGGCAGCTAATAAGATCCTGCTCAGTAACCTAGAGAAGACTGGCCAGGAGATGATTGAGGGTGGCCACTACGCCGCTGACAGTGTGGCTGCTCGGCTGGCCGAAGTCGCCAGCCTGTGGGAGCAATTGCTGGAGTCGACAGCGCAGAAAGGTGAGAAGCAAAGGTTTCGTTGAAAGGCTAATTCTTAAATTCTGACATCTACCATGTTCATCTTCACCTCTTTGAATTTACCTGGTGACCTCTATGGGAAAGATGCTACTCATCTGCTTTCCTATATCTTCCTCCATTAGTCAAGAAGTTTTCAAAGTCCAATCTAAATTTATCACACTATATATTTACAAATTTTATGTTTTCTTCATACATGTAGTTTTTTACTGAAATTCCTTTTGTTTTCTTCACTTTTTAAAAATTTTCTTTTCTTAAAATATATCTTTATTGATTTCAGAGAGGAAGGTAGAGGGAGAAATAGAAGCATCAATGATGAGAGAATCATTGGTCGGCTGCCTTCTGCATATCCCTGCACTGGGGATGGAGCCCACAACCTGGGCATGTGCCCTTGACCGGAATCGAACCTGGACCCTTCAGCCTTCAGGCCGACACTCTATCCACTGAGCAACACTGGCTTGGGCTAAACTTTTTGTTGACAAATATTCAGCAACCATGAATTTTATATTGTCTAACACTAGTGCCCTTAAATTAAGGTTTTGGTTCCATAGACAAGATATTATAACCCAGGTAAATTAAACATTAAAAGATTGTCGATGCCAAATGTATTTCTACAATATTTTATTTTTATAAAAAGGGCTTGATGACTTTGTTGTTGTTTGTTTTTTACCTATCTTGAAGTGTTCAGGCTCCGCAATGAGCTCTTTTAAAAACTCCCACATATCTACTTGAATGTTTCTACTAACATTGAATTTACCTGGTGACCTCTAGGCCAGTTTTCTCTAGGTTAATTATAATCAGTTATAATTAACACAAATAATGAGGTTCTCTTATTAATATTCTCCTTGTTCTGAACATGCTCTGTGGACATGGCTCTGTCCTGGTTAGAGAAGGGATCATATTGATTTTGTTTGATGTCATTCTGAAAAGTAGGGGGGAAATCCAACTTGGCTGTAGCAATAAGAAATCGCCATACAGTAATTGCTACACAGAAATACTGTAAATAATTGCTATAAGTTCATATAATGGAAAGATTATCAGGGAACAGTGTGCATAATCAAGACTTATTTTGGAAGAGAAAGTTGTGGGGCACGGTTTGTGATGAAGGACAGGCACTAAGAGGGGCCAACAAAGTTCTGAGAAAGACATTGATTAAAAGACACTTCAAAATTGTAAATGGAGCCAACCCCAAGTGTTATACTTCTCTTGGAAAATGGAGTGTTTGGGTTTAAATCCCCTTAAAAAGGAGGTCTCAATGGAGAGCAAGAAATGACATATGAAAACACCCAAGCTGTTTAAAATCGAACACAGCAGCCCTATACCTCACTGGGGATTAATTTATTGTTTTTCTTTCTCTTGGGAACATTACTTTATTTGAAAACAAATACCAAGAAGTTCTACAATTTAAGGTGATTTCTTGTACAGTGTGGCCTTGACTTATGAGTTTAATTCATTCCGAGACTGAGCTCGTTAAGGAGCTCGTTAACTCAAATTACTCTGTCAACTCAAAGCAAATATCGGCTGAGAGATGGCTCATATCTTGGAAAAACTTGTTAGTCGGGACACTCGTAAATCAAAGTCCCACTGTATAATGTTATATGAGAGTTTTTTCCATTTGATTATCAAAATATATTTCTGCTTAAGTTGGTGGAAGGTATATTATTTGTCATGAGAAGCAGTGACGGTACCTGTCTTATACTTGATGTGCTTTCCCAGGGACCCAGTTGTTTGAAGCTAACCAGCAGCTGCAATTTGAAAATAATGCCGAAGACCTGAAGCGCTGGCTGGAGGAGGTGGAATGGCAGGCCACCTCAGAGGATTATGGGAAAGGCCTGGCTGATGTACAAAATCTACTCAAGAAACACAACTTCTTGGAGTCTGGTGTGGCTGCTCGTCAGGTGTGTTGCTAGCTCTTTACTACTTGTAGGCCAAAGCACTTGTATATCCTCTGACCAAACTCATCACAAGTGATTATTATTAAGAGAAAGAGATCAAGAAGTTAAAGGTAAAAATTCAAAGATTTTAGTTGGTAAACAGCCTCTTCCCAATATTTCCTTTTATACAGCCATTCTCCTGGTTGCCTGGTGTCTCTTGTCAGAACACCATGGCTGATATAAGGCGTTATTGACTTTTCTTTTTTTAAAAAATTAAATCTTCATTGTTCAGATTATTACAGTTGTTCCTCTTCCCCCCCCAATAGCTCCCCTCCACCCGGTTCCCCCCCTCCGACCTCACCCCCCACCCCCACTGTCCTCATCCATAGGTGCACGATTTTTGTCCAGTTTATTGACTTTTCTTGATATAATACTGCATACTCAATCCAGAACCATGGATTATATATATAGCCTGCCAATTACTAGTTATATGATCTTTGGGGTGACTTTTCAACTTTTCACACCTCTATATTCTCATCTATAAAATAAGCGTTTAGATAAAATTGCCTCTTCTTGTTTGAGCATTCTGCAATTCAAAGCTTGAACATATCTTCCATCCTATCAGTTTTGTTTGTTTTAGTTAAGAAAATTAAAACCTGTACAAGTAACATGATTTCATAGAGAAAATAAACACCAGGGCCAGGACTATCATACACATGTCTATGCTCTTAATTTTAAGTCCCACCAGACTGTTATTTAAAATACATTTATCTAGTAAATTTCTAGACTGTATAGACACTGTACATGTGCGTTTCCAGAAACCTTAATGGAAATTCAATTCCAGTCAATTCAATTTTTCAACCTTGGGAATCTTAGCTTGTGTTTTAAAATGATTCTGCTGTTTCCTAGAAGGTCTCACTAATCTGTCTTGTTAAAATACACTTTTATGATATTTACTTTTTGGTCACTTTGGGTGAAATGGGAAAGAAAGAACAATCTACAGAAGACAGAGCAAACAAAACAAACGCAATCATTTATATGGCTCTAAGAATGGCTTGATGGAGCTTGAAATAAAAGGTTGGGGATAGAAAACACAAACTGTGTGAAGATGGCTTGAAATCTAACATGGAGGGAGAGTTTGTAACAGATTTACAAAGGATTTGATGAAAGATAAACAAAAACATACAAAGAGGAAGAACAGCATTTGTAAATACATAATAAATATAATAAAGATGGGACCCTTTGAGGAAATTTAGGGCATCTAATCACCAAGAATTGGTTCTCTTGGCTGGGAAAGAGGCTAAGATATATGCTTGCAAAACAAATTTCAAATATGGAATATTATAGTTAGAAAGGATCTTAAATGCCCTCTAGCCCCAAACCCTTATTATATAGATGAGGACACTAAAATTAAAGTAGGTAAAAGGGCTTTTCCAAGATCAAGTGGCAACTGACTGGCAGCCAAGAATAGAAGTTACATCTTCTATCTTCTTAGTCTGGGCATCTTCAACAACACTAGAGGTTTTCAAATAATGCAGTGATCCATAATGATGATGATAATTATGATGTTTCAAAATCACTCTAGTACACTATGATGTTTTCCAAAGTTAAAGTATCCTAAGAGATGAAAAGAGTTGGCTAATGAGAGATATTAATTTTAATTCTTTAAGGAGCTTTTACTATTTTATGAATAAGTCTGTATATGTTTTAAGAAGCTATTGGTGGTTAATGGTTTGTTCCAAATTGAGACAAGATATATCAAAACCTTTATAGGTTGAGAACTGGATATCAAAATAGAATAAGTAAAACCAGCACTTACGGTTCATTTACCTCTTGAAGAACTTTTTGTGTGCACTTTTGTAATTTTTTATTTTTATTAATGTTTTAATGAATTCATTGGGGTGACACTGGTTAACTAAATCATACAGATTTCAGGTACAATTCCACAACGTATCATCTGTACACTGTATTATGCATTTACCACCCCAAGTGAAGTCTCCATCAACCACCAGAAGAAGTTTCCTTATGTACCTCTTTCCCCTACTCCAGCAAAAAGGCAAAACAAGCAGACAAGCAAAAATCCTATCTACTTGCTTCTGCAAGGCCATTTATAGTTGACCTCACTAATAAGAAGGAACACATCTTGTGTATCTATAGCATATAGAAATACAACTAAAATTTTCTTTCCAGGGAGATCTTTTGGAACCCGGTTTCTATATTTCTCCTTTCTTAGATAATGGCTCAAATGAGGACTGTGATTTCTTCCATTTCACACAACTGGGTATTGACCAAGGCGTGTCTTTACATTTCTTTTTCTGAGGTTTTGACATTTGTT